CCCAACCACCATCGAAGAACTTGAGGGAAAAAGAAGAGTTGATTTAGAAGCACAGCTAAGAAAGCAGGATATTGCGAAGAATAAAATTGCACAGAGGCAGGATACCCCATCAGCAATATTGCAGGCCAACAAGCTGAACGATCCCGAAACGGTAAGGAAGAGATCAAAACTTATGCTACCATCACCTCAAATTCCTGATCATGAATTGGAGGAGATTGCAAAGATGGGATATGCGAGTGATCTTCTTGCAGGGAATGAGGAACTTGCTGAAGGGAGTGGTGCAACTCGTGCTCTTCTTGCAAATTATTCCCAAACACCACGTCCAGGAATGACACCTTTGCGGACCCCACAAAGAACACCTGCTGGAAAAGGTGATGCTATCATGATGGAAGCTGAAAATTTGGCTAGGCTGAGAGAGTCCCAGACGCCATTACTTGGTGGAGAAAACCCAGAGCTGCACCCTTCAGATTTCTCAGGGGTCACTCCTAAAACACAGATCCAAACACCAAATCCAATGTTGACTCCTGCAGCAACTCCTGGAGCTGCAGGTCTTACTCCTAGAACTGGAATGACACCATCAAGGGATGGCTCTTCTTTTGGTTTGACTCCTAAAGGAACTCCCATGAGGGATGAGCTCCGCATAAATGAAGACATGGATCTACATGACAGTGCCAAACTTGAGCAGCGGAGACAAGCTGATCTAAGAAGGAACTTGAAATCTGGACTTGGTGGTCTTCCACAGCCAAAAAATGAGTATCAAATAGTCATTCAACCACCCCCAGAAGATAACGAAGAACCAGAGGAGAAGATTGAAGAAGACATGTCTGATTGGATAGCTAGAGAAAGGGCTGAGGAAGAAGCACGGCAGCAGGCATTACTTAAGAAGAGATCAAAAGTGTTGCAGAGGGAGCTTCCTAGACCTCCTACTGCCTCTCTGGAACTAATTAGAGATTCTTTGATGAGAACTGATGGAGACAAAAGTTCATTTGTTCCTCCTACTTCAATTGAGCAGGCGGATGAAATGATAAGAAAGGAGCTTCTCTCCTTGCTGGAACATGATAATGCTAAGTATCCACTTGATGAAAAGGCAAATAAGGTGAAGAAAAAAGCTGCCAAGCGTCCTGCAAATGGATCTATTCCCAGTATTGAAGATTTTGAAGAAGAGGAAATGAAAGAGGTTTGCCATGTGCTCTTCAGATTTTTTTTCTTCTTTTCTTTTTGGGTCATGATCTTCGACTTTTTTAATATCAGAGATGATATGTGAGCATAAATGAGCCCTTTTATGAACTCACTGACGACTTTATTTTTGTTGGCAGGCCAATTCCTTGATTAAGGAAGAAGCTGACGTTCTACGCGTGGCGATGGGGCATGAAAATGAAACTCTTGATGATTTTGTGGAAGCACATAATACTTGCCTAAATGATCTGATGTACTTCCCTACTCGTAATGCTTATGGTCTATCAAGTGTTGCTGGAAATATGGAGAAACTTGCGGCCCTGCAGACTGAGTTTGAAAATGTGAAAAAGAAGATGGATGCTGATAAGTCGAAGGCAGAAAGCATGGAGAAGAAGTACAATGTTCTCACACAGGGTTACGAGGTACATCATTAGATGCATGCTGATAATTTTCATTAATAATTTTCTTATACTATCATCATATCAATTTTTATTGCAACTGTAGCATGTGAGTTATAATTTTTATCATTCATTTTCTATTATTAGATATCATTTAGAAATTTCATACTGCCTAGTAACATAACAAAATCTTTTATACAGCATGTTTTCTTTATATGTGTAAGAACATGAAAACCTTTATGCCTTTATATCTGTGTTTGGGAGTTTGCCTTTGTAATTATGTGGGTGTTGGATTGGGGTAGGATGTGATTAAATAAAACAATTAGCATGTAAAGCTGTATCTGTATAAAGAAAAGTATCTGTTTCCATATTCATTTGATAGGTTGGAGTACTGTTAATTTTCTTTATTAAAAGCCATTTTAGTAGTTTATTTGAATTGTATGCACACATCTTTCTTATTCTCATTCTGATGCTGAACTAAGAATTAAATAATTTATCAACACTTAATGGATGATAGTTGCTTCTATCCAGCTTATAGAAAAATTAGTGAACTGCAATCCAAGAATACAATATCATACTTTTAGTAATGGAATTTTGTTTGAAATTTCAATTCCTGTTGTGCTAAACAACCAACAATTTCAATGGTCAGAAACGGGCAGCAACTCTTTGGCTTCAGATTGAGTCAACCTATAAGCAGACGGCTACAGCAGGAACAGAACTAGAGTGTTTTCAGGATTTACAAAAGCAGGAGCAATTAGCAGCATCACACAGGATAAATGGTCTCTGGGAGGAAGTCCAGAAGCAGAAGGAGCTCGAACAGACCTTGCAAAGACGCTATGGGAATCTCATGGCCGAGTTAGAAAGTTTGCAAAATCTCATGAATGTATATAGAGCAGAAGCTGAAAAGGAAGAAGAGGCAGCTGAAAAGGATCGAGCTCTTGAGTTGTCTGAGTCTGCATCAAGCCAAGTTGATCTGCCAAGGTCAGGAATACCAAAGCCTGCACCTTCACAGGAGCATGTTGGGTCTTCTCTTGATGGTGAACCAAGTGTGGAAGTTGATACGAATGCTGATTCAGGAAAAGGACATGCAGATGGAAGCAAGTCCGTAAATGTGCCTTCAGTTGTGGAAGACAAAGGCAGTGATATCCCAAAGACAGACAATACGGTGACTGAGGATGCTGTAAGTTCTGAGGTTGCCACAGAATCTATAAATCCAGATTCAGTCTCTACCAAACAGGAAAGCATCCGAGAATCGCATGAAGCTGAAGGTTACACTGACCACACCGAGGTCGACAATTCTTGTGTCTTGGTTGGGGATACTGCTGAAAAACAAATTGGGATGGAGGAATAGCTTTTCGAGTCGCACAATGAGAGACTAAAGTCATGAGATCCATATCTGCTTCTCTATTTTCATAAATCATTGTGTTTCTTTGCTCTTAGAAGGGAACTGAAAAAGAAATATGGGTAATGTATAACTGGAAAAGAGACTATATTTTTGGTTGAATCTTGAAGGAACATAGTTTCACATTCATGCTTATCTAGCTTCATTTGAGTTTTCGACCAAGGTCAATCCAAATCTTTTCTTCTTTATGAAGTCATCGCTAATCTAAATGCATGGTAGATAGATTTGATGAATACATATTTATTATTTATTTATTTATTTTAATGTCTGAGAAGAGATTAGAAAGAAGTTCCTCCATATCCAATTGAGTCATAACCAATGTAGCTATGTTGGCCACATAAGGGAGGAGTCAGAGTTTCACCATTTCGTCAAAAAGAGAGTTTTTATTGATTTTATTATTTTTACCGCCATTCAATTGGTATACCAAATTCGGTAGCAGCAGGCAGCCTTTTTATGACTATTTGACACCTAAATCTATTTTCAAGAATACAACATTTCCAATCCCACCATACTGGATAAGCTTTGACTGCTTGACCCTCACCATAAATAACCCTTCTTCTCGATCTCTCTGCGCACAATCTCATCAAACAATCCCCTTAGCCTGACGCAGGTATGAATATATATATATATATATAATGTGATTTATTACAAAAGGAACTACGTTCTTCTCTCCAGAATGCAAATTTCGTGGCATAAATGATTGAAATGATCGACCATGCAAGCGTGTTCTGACCATTACCATTCTATGGTGTAGAAAGTATCCATAATATGTTTTTTGCTGCAGTTACAATGTTGAGAGCGTAGTAGTTGCGTTAGACATGATTGTGTTATTCTTTAAAAGAAATGATATCATTTACTTCACCTATAGTTACAGTTGCCATTTACTATTACTATAGTTGTAGATGAAGATTGTACGTGTAAATAATTGAGTGAATCAGCAGGTATTGTGGGGTTGGTTTGCTTTTCAATGTGATGTTAATTTTTCATTGGTTACAATGACAGCCATCCAGATTTGGATGTACTTCTCTCGTTTACAGATTAATCATAAAAAAGGAAAGAACTTGAATTCATCCCCTATAGGCGAAGAAATCAATTTTGCAACTCCAAATTAATAGGAAAGCCAAAAGCAAATTTTCTTCTTTCAAGGTTCCGCCTTTGAGAAAGATAAAAACGAGACTGGCCCGCGCATTCATGTATGTTTGTTGATTCTTTTCCGGATACGAAACAACGAAGAAACAAACAAAAAACCATAATTGCCTTCTCCTCCTCCTTTTTCTAACAATAAAACTATTATAAAAAGCCCATTAAAATGGAATTTCATTCCTTGGGGTGTCTATGTAAGTTCATGTTTCTCTTGTGATTCTCTTTCAACTTCTTTTTTTCTCATTTTTTTCCAAGGCTTTGGATGAAAACAAGTGTAGTTGGGTCAGTCACAAATTTTAAATTAATTAATGAATTAATTTTTTGGGTTGTACATGATCTTTGCATACATGCATGAACAAATACTATAAAAATTAGGAAAAAACTAAGAGTATCCAAGTAGGGGTGTCTATATTTGCATGCAGAAAGGATATTTTTTTTGAAGTGTGAATTTTTTTTCTTAGGTAAAGGTTGTATTTTTTTTTGCAGAAAATAAGAAGCTGTTCAATTGTTTCTCTCTCTCTCTATATGTATAATATTGTTCAATTGTTTCTTTGGATTTCTTGAATTTCCTTGGGATTACTTCAACTGTTCAACATGTTGGCATGGTGTAAATTTCCCTGTTAAATGGTTATGGCAGTGAAATATTAATTATTAACAGTTCTAGGGAAAAAAAACAAATTTACTCTTGAACTGAGAGTAATCAGTGACATTCTGATTCTCATAATTTGGTTTAATTCTCTGGGTTTTTAACTCTAGTCCTGGTAACTCTAAATGTCTCACTCGGAAGAATACTACTAAGGGTCATTTTGCTTGGCATAATTAACTGAAGTTATGCATATCAGATTGTTTTGGTTAATCTTCTTTATGGGGATAAATTTCAGCAACAATGGTGACCAGAACAGTCGATCTTCGATCTGATACTGTCACGAGACCTACCGAGGCAATGAGGGCTGCGATGGCAACTGCTGAAGTTGATGATGATGTCTTGGGTGCTGATCCGACTGCGGTCCGGTTAGAATCAGAGGTTGCAATGATCATGGGCAAAGAAGCCGGTTTATTCGTTCCATCAGGCACAATGGGTAACCTCATTAGTGTTCTTGTTCACTGTGATATAAGGGGAAGTGAGGTCATTCTTGGAGACAACTCTCATATCCATATTTATGAGAATGGTGGAATTTCAACCATTGGAGGTGTTCATCCAAGGCCAGTGAAGAACAATGATGATGGAACTATGGACATCAATTCGATTGAAGCTGCCATTAGAGACCCAAGAGGAGAGCTCGTTTACCCGACTACGAGGCTGATTTGCTTGGAGAATTCACATGCAAAGTAAGATTTTGTTTCTTGTTTATGAAATTCCTTTGAACTTGATTTGTTTGGGCAATGATAGACATGAGCATTCAGGGGAAATCATCAGCCTAACTTTGTCATACTTGAGATGTGTTACTCTGGCTATTTTTTTAAGTTCCACATCGAATATTTGTGTCAAATGTGAATCGAGGCGTAAGAATGGAGATATGACCCTCAAAGGCCTCTCTAAATACATTTGCGAGACACAATGCAACATGAACAGCAACTATTGCATTCGCACTACATTAGAAGAATGGGTCATACATGATATACATATTTATATATATATATATATATATAGTAATCCTCTGGTTTTCTTTTACCATGCAGCACCGGGGGTAGATGTTTGTCTGTGGAATACACAGACAAAGTTGGTGATCTAGCTAAGAAGCATGGCTTGAAGCTTCACATTGACGGGGCTCGAATTTTCAATGCATCTGTGGTGAGTAACACATTTTTATATTTGCAGTCTATGTTGTCCGGTGCAGGTATATTCAAGTTATTTCATATATATGTAGGATCACCTATCTCCATACCATTGTCCAAACAATATTTAAACACATACATGAAAATGAAGAATCTGGGCAGCATGACTAGCCTGCTATTGTTGTTGTATTCTCATGTTTAAATGTATACATGAAAACTATCATTTATCATGGTATCTAACTAAAGTATTGGTCTGTCAGGCACTCGGAATTCCTGTTAACAGGCTTGTACAAGCTGCAGATTCCGTCTCGGTATGCTCCTTATGTTATCATTGTTTGCTTATTTAAGCTTCTTTGCCTTTTCAGTGTTCTTATTAATAGTTGTTTCAATTGTTATCCTATACTTCATCGTAATTTACAGTTGTTTTCCAAAATTAAAACTTCAATCTGGAGTGTTTGATCTTATAAACCATGGATTTAGAACCCCCCTTTTCTTTTTGATTGCATTTGTTTGCCGTAGGTATGTTTATCAAAAGGTTTGGGTGCTCCAGTTGGATCAGTCATTGTTGGATCCAAAAGCTTTATTAGTAAGGTAAAATATGAAGTTTTTGCAGCTAAAAACCTCTGCAACATATCAAAATTTATCTTCGAACTCCATTTCTGTCGGCTTTTTCTTAGGCTAGAAGACTTCGGAAGACCTTAGGCGGTGGGATGAGACAGCTTGGTTTCATTTGTGCTGCTGCTTTTGTTGCTCTGAATGAGAATGTCGCAAAGCTTGAAGGTGATCACAAGAAGGCTAAGATGTTAGCAGGTAAATTATGGTTCAAGTATATGCTACTCTGTTTCTTTATTTACATGAAATATCCGTATCCGACACCTATATCGGACATCAAATTAAATACATCGACTTCATGCTGGTTTTTTAATTGTTTCAGAGGGGCTAAATCAAATTAAAGGTCTAAGAGTCGATGTTGCTGCGGTGGAAACGAATATCGTGAGTATGCTTGTTGTATAGCTTACAGAACAGTGTTCTCCTTGAGTTTGCATTTCCGGATTTGAGGTTTTACATTCTTGCAAACTACTTGGGTTTGGTTTGTTCGTTATTGAATCAAGCTAGCTATCAAGCAAGTTGCGTTTCGAGTCTCGAATTTCAACTAGAATGCAAGTTCGAGCTTATCTTGGCTCAATGATAGACCCCTAGTTGCGATTCGATCTATCAAAGTGTATAATAAGTGTCCACCCTGGTTTCATGTACTTGATGCTGCTATGCTCACCAAAAACTAGAGGAAAACTGAACGAAAAAATTGCATCAGAAAACTGCAGAGAATTTACTTTTACCAACCGGTAAAAGCAAAAGTTTTCATAATTACCTTCGCTTATATTCTTCATATTACTGTATTTCACCAGATATTTTTTGACATAGTGGAGGAAACAAAAATCACAGCAGAGAAACTATACAAGAACCTAGAGGAACATGGTGTACTTGTGATGCCAGAAGGCCCATACAGGTCAGCATGCTTATGTTGTTCCGACTCTTCGTTTTTCTTTTACCTATAAATGTCCGATATCCGAATAACGATCATAGACGACCTGAATCAATGCGTTTTTCTTTCCATGTTATATTCAGGATGAGAATTGTCCTCCACCACCAAATATCATCAAGTGATGTGCAGTACACTTTGTCCTGCTTTCAGGTAATCGACATTGTCCCTGTTCGGAATCCGGCGCATAAGTATCGATTAGATTAGAACATTCACGCCTACTTTTACCGAATATCATCCTTGTTTCTTGCCTGCTGATCCATGTAATGTTTTACTAATTATTCCTTGTTTGAGTATTTGCAGCAAGCATTCAACGGAGTGCAAGAAGAAAATGGCTACCATGTCTGAAATTGGTACGACTCGTGAAGATCAGTTCAGAGGCAGGAGGAACACGCTCCATCGTATAATCATAAATAATATGTAGAACCCATTAATATTAAGCCTTTTAAGATTTCATCATCATTTCTTCGTACCTATAAACCTGTGTTATTCCCTGGCAAATAAAGTTTAGTTTTATTTATATTTTATTAAATTTTCTCTTTATCTTACAATAAAGAATCGGAATCAAGAATTAAAGAGAGAATGTTGTTCTCTTTAGAAGACTAGATACAACTTTACGATAAATAGTGAAAATAATTTTCGAAAATTTTGAATAACCTTTTAATTTTAAATAAAAGACATTATTTTTCACAGTTAATGGGTAAAATTTATACATATAAATAGTGAAAATATAAATTAAAAAATATATAATTCTTCAAGAACACATTACCTTGGATAATAGTAGTGCATATTTTGGCCCAAAGGGGGGGGGGAATTAGGGCTTTCACATTTTAAATGCCTTGTTATTTTAGTAAAATAGTACCTTGTTTTGCACATAAAAACAATAGGCTAAAATAGTATCTTAAAATATTTTGGTAGTATTTATTAACCATTGGTATGTGGTGTCAAATATTATTTTCTTTAGTTTTTGGTTTCAGTTCATCTGCTCATCGCTTTCCCTTTAAACCCTATTTCCAAACCCCAGATTCTTGCAGTCTTTCATCCATTTCTTACCAGTGAGTCCCTTCAAACTGAAACAAGTTCTAAATTTTATCAAAATATATTCTCCATCTAAAAAAGAGCAAAAGGCAACCCTTTTTTTTTGTTTCTATCTCGTTCAATTTCTTGTTATCTCCGTAAGTTCTGTCGTGGAAGCCATGCAGAATCTTGCATTTCATGATTTCTTGAGCTATCCTAGTTTGTATACCTGAACTGAAAAGCTTTGAAACTGTTCTTCTCCTTCTAATTATCAACCTCCAATCCATCCTGATCAGTGCTTTCTTTTTTCGATAAGAATATAGGAGAAGACGAGTGAAACCCTAAAACAAAGATCAACACTCACCCATCGGTAAAATAATGGACTTGGTTCCCCCACAAAGCAATATCTTAGGCTCAAACCTCGTAGCAAACAGCACAGCAACGCCTATTTCCACAACTGCTCCGCCATCGACCACCCCGAGTCGCTATGAGAACCAGAAGCGTAGGGATTGGAACACTTTTTGTCAATACCTGAGGAGCCAAAGGCCTCCATTGTCGGTTTCAATGTGTAGCGGTGCTCATGTTGTGGAGTTTCTTAGGTACCTCGATCAGTTTGGGAAGACCAAGGTTCATAACCAGACATGCCCTTTCTTTGGTCTCCCCAACCCACCAGCTCCTTGTCCTTGCCCTCTTAGACAAGCCTGGGGTAGCCTCGATGCACTCATCGGTCGACTCCGAGCTGCTTATGAGGAACATGGGGGTAAACCAGAAGGGAACCCTTTTGGAGCTCTAGCTCTGAGGATCTTCTTAAGGGAAGTCAGGGATTTCCAGGCCAAAGCTAGAGGTGTTAGTTATGAGAAGAAAAGGAAGAGACCGAAGCAAAAGGTGGAGCCATCACCACCATTAATTGCTGATGCCACTGCTGCAAGTAAATAAGTACACTCCACAAACTAGACAATATAAACATCTTTGTTGGTGAAAATTTTATGTTACTTCCCCCCCCCCATGTTTGGGGTGTACCAAGTTTAGTGGGTACCCTTTCTTTTAGGGGAAAGTTTTGAATGGCAGTGACAGTACCAAAAAGAAAATGATGGTATCAAAAGTGAATGCCATATATAGATACTCATCAAATTGTTATGTACTTTGGTATTCTGTGAAACTAAGCTTGTACTTCAGCTTTTTCCTGATATATATTTCTGGTCAGTTCATATTTCAGGTTAGATCACAATTTTTGTTCTTCTTTTTTACAGGAAATACTATATAATTGGAACAAGAATAGGGTCCTTTTGCAATCAACATATTGCCTGAACGATATGGTGGTTTTTGTTGGTTCTATTTTCATAAGCTATTTCTGTTATCTTCTACTCTGGTATTTCAATGGTTTATTTGATAATCTTTTATATATATAATAATTTTAAATTTTTAAAGATACGACCACTCTACCTGCCTCGCTATCCATCCGTCAGAGACAGAGACGATGTGTATAGGCCATTGCCCCAATAGTAGTAGATGTTAATGTAATGATGTCTATGTGGTTTCATATATAAACATGACATTTCTCTAAATCCGCTCTTGTTTCCATGAATCGAGCATTTCCATATGTTTAATTGAACAAATGATTGTCCCTTTTTCTCATATGTTTAATTGAACAAGAGTACCTATATTCATCTTTTTCTAAAATTAGTGGATGGTGACAGCTAAAACAAAACATACATACGTGCCATACAAAAACTTACTATTATTAAATCAAATTTAATTTATGTTCTATTGGTTTGAAAGTACATTTTCGGATTTAAATATTTTTATAATTACATGTGCATTTTGTTCTTATTAATATACGGAACAAATGGAATTTCAAATTTTAGGGTTCAAGTTCACAACTATGACGCATGATAGTAATTTAACATCAATCATTTAAAGAAAGTTATTTCAGTATACATTCTTTTAACTTTTAATATATATGTAAGGGTTGGAATTCAGTTATATTAAAATTTATATTCATTAAATTTAAATAAATAAAATATTTTTTTCCCTTTTTATCATTAGGATTAGGATTAAGAGTTTAGGAATTTAATATTTTGGGTTAGAGGTTTAAGCTTTAGGGTTTGAGAGTTTGAGATTTTAGGACTTGGAATTAGGGTAAAATATATATTATTTTATTGTGTGTTAAAAAAATTATTTATTTGTTATAAATTTTAATTAAATCTAAGTTGTTCATTATTTAAAACGAATGGTTATAAATTAGTGTAAAACTTATTAGTTTTAGATAGTGTAAGTGAAACATATTCCTATATATATACTGGGACAGACGTAGGAATTTATATCAGGGGTGCGAACTTAAGAAATTATATTAAAAATTATAGAGATACGAAGCTATAATATTTTAAGAGCGTGAAATTAGACAATCAATAAAAAATACTAAAAAAATTTAAAATATAAGATAACTTAAAATTTTTAAAGGATGCGTGCGATAGCACCCCCAACCAGGTGCAGACCTCCATAGTGCCCGGAGTATCCCAAACAACCCCTCCACAAGTGTTACCTCTAATACAAGTGTCACCCTTCAAAAGTGTTACCCTGAGGCTCTTGTAACCCCTGAATTTTTGTCATAGATCCGCCTCTGCCCCCAACACCTCTCAATCCCTCCATATATATATATATATATATATATATATTGAGCGCGGGAATCTTGAGTGTAAAGAAGTCATATTAATGAGTTCCAATGAACCATTTTTATGTAGTTTTTGTTTTCTTGTGTTAGAAGAAAACAGATTCTTGGAAATGAACATAGAGTCGTTACTGCACAGCACCGACCAAAAATTGCTTCTTATAAGCATATATGGATGCCAACGGCAACATCGTACCAGTGTAGCACACAACTCGACAATGCCTTTTCAAACAATCTGGGGGTCAGACAAATTTGATTTTAGTTTATTTATGAACTACTTCTGCATTTGTTGAAATTATGTGGGATTCAGTATACAATATGTTTAAACTGTAAAATTGGTATTTGTACGGTCTTTTATACGTATTGTTACTCTTTTATACGGAGTTATAAAAAAACAGCAAAATAAAAAGGAATGAATGCTTCGAGTCGCTTTTGCATTGCATGAACGTGTGTGTTCCTGTGCTACGACATCTGCAAAGGCACTATCCCCTATTAAAACAAATGCAAAGGAGTGTCCGTACAAACAAAATCCCCGTAATCTACGGTGAATGGTGCATTGGTCGACACGTGCGTCCATCAGGTGCTCCCTACCAAGCATTGTACTCCCACGTGGACGATTGGATTCCTTGTGGGGAAACGGAGCAGTGAGTTTTGGCTCGTGCACCGTGTTAGTCTTTCTCGGTTGTTCGATTGAGGCCACGCGGTTTGATCTCATCCGACGGATGCTTCTGTCCGCACAACAAAGTTTCTATTTTTTCTCTCTCCTCTCGGTTTCTTTTATTGCCTTGTTAGGGAGTCGCCTACTTTTGCCATTCAGGAAACCTTACAGTTCTTAGATTAATTATTTACTTTTATCCTCCCTAGACTTAGAATGATGAACTCTTAAAATGAAGTTATAAACGTTGGATGTGGATTTTTTATTAGTTTAAGTACGAGTTTAGTAATTAAAGTATTAATTTTAGTTCGTTTAAATTTTTATTTTTCAATATTATACTTAACGTTTAGTTTTTATTTTATTTTAATACACATTGTTAAAAACTTAACGCGTTTAGAACTTAAACCATCAATTTTAATCCGTTTTAGTACCTAGGCTTTTAATTATTTTTTTAAAATTTAACGTTAAATTTTGAATGAGATACTAAAATGAAACAAAACTAAAGTTTATAACGGCGATGTACTAAAATGAAATAAAAATTAAACTTTAAGTATGGTTTTGAAGAAATATAAATTCAGGTACTAAAATTGATCAAAATTAATAGCTTAGTACTAAACATGTAATTTACCCTTTTTTTAAGTATCAGAATTTCGGAAAGTAACATAAATTTATATTTTTCATATTGTAAATTTATTTTTATAATTTTTCGCTAAGTAATTAAAGAAACCCTAAGACTAGTAATTAATTGATAGCCGTATGTATGAATAATCGGATTGTTGTCGACCATTCTAGTGTCTCTAGTTTAAGATTCAGTATACTAAAATTAGTCTCTAATGATATTGATTACGAATTAAAATACTTTTTATAAATACAATTAAAGATGAGTTTAATTGATTAACTCGGTTCAAACTTGAATAATATACTTTTTCTCAATAAATACTTTACTCGAATAATATTTAGAAAAACTTCATTTATCTCGAACTTGATCTGACTTTTAGAGATGAAAATTAACTTTGAAGACACATTTTTCTCTCATTGTTATTTGACAAAATTGAAAGATGAACATAAAAAATATAAAAATGCATTATAATAATTATCTCCAAATATTATTTTCAAAAATATATTTTTGAATATTAGTTAATTATATTGTACGATATAATTATCAGTTTTATTATATTAAAATTATGTTTTAATTAATCCATATTTGGTATAGATTATTATATTAATTCAATTTAGAAAGTTACAAAAATGTTATTAAATTTATCGAACTATTATTCATGTCTTGAGTAAATAAATGCATCAGCCAACAGTAGAAAATAAATAAAAGAATCTTATAAGGTTAAAAAGGTTTCTCACCAATATAAAAGATTCAGTTAGTATGAGCTTTGTTTACATGACATTGTATGAAACTAGACTATCAACTCAAGGTAGAAAGAGAAATGGAAAATTTTGCAGATGCCGATATGGGTACCTGCTAACTCGGGGCCGGAAGTCAATTGACGAGGTTGAGTATCGATCGGTATAAAAAATCAAACAGGAAACTAACTAAAGTATGGTTATCAATCTTCTTTGGCTCTAAAGAATGATGATGGATTGAATGAAAGCTGTGTATGCAGTGCTTGAAAGCAGGATGTGGATATCTACAGAAATAAAAAAAAAAGAGGGGAAATGGGCTATACCGGTCTTGATCTCGAATCCGCATGACCAAAGAATTTTGATCATCTACGACGACTTTGAATCTCTTCATTTAGGAGTTGAACCACCAGGTCTACATCCATTGGTGGTCTTTTGTCACTTAAAATACTACAAAGTGAATGTAGTTCTTCAGAGTTGGCCTTCTTGAATAGGTCTCTGAGTAGTGTGTTAACTCCACCAGGCAAGCACTCTTTCTGAACAGCCTCTGTATTTTGTTCCCCAGTTATTCTTTCCAAGTTCTCGCCATTGCCAGGAGGCTGAAAATGTTGTAGAATCTGCACTCGAGGCCGTGAGTAAGGACGAGAGTCCCAATACTCCTTGCAAACTCGATTTCGGTCCATTGCCTCAATTGCCTAGATTATATGTAAAAAACATGAAAGATGAGTTTAGTTCTTTTAGAGTAAAGCATTTACCATAAAGTTATAAAGGAAACAACTTTTCACTTTGATATTAAAAATCGACAATATTCCAGATTGTACACATGGACTTGTTTAATCTTTCGATAACAAAGATTCTAGAAAATAGTGATAACCTTCGAAAACCAAACTATAATAGTGGTAGGGTTGGTGTATGGAATGGAACCAAACATGAACTCACCACAGAAAGAATCGCTAAAATATTCTACTAACTCATTTACCTGAACAATTTCTGGTGAAGAAAAACCAAACATCTCTAAGCCATCAAGGCTTCCAGGAGGCTGCAATGGTGGGAGGTTGGTCCTTCCCCCTCTATGCTGTTTCATGATCTCTTGATTCACTTTCTCCCTCACCATCTCCCAGCATATGGAAGCTGAAACATGAATGAATACTTCACAGGGACAATTCTCCACAGAAACCTGAAATCCAATCAACGGTTAAGCCAAGCACGCTTAAAACCCCATATATTTCTGATAATTATTAGCTTACTTCGATGGTAATAAAACAACAAATTTTATCTTAATGATAAAATAATGCTAAAATGCATAGCTGTTTTTCTCTTCAAGCATAAACAGATTAACATCGGAGACATGATTTAAAGCTCAGCGACGGAGATAAATCTATCCATATCTTTAATATGACAACGTTTTCTGGCATAAGTAGAAAGAGGTAAAAATGTGTTACTGATAGAGGTGCGAACTGTGAAAACATAGATGGTATTATAAAATTTAAAATTACCATGAACAGAGGTCCTTCCCTCCCTGCATCCAGAATTTCTGAGACATAGTATGCCATATTTGTTGGATCCAGAACACTTATATACCTAACGCGACTCTTAAACCCTGCATTAATTAGAATTGGAGTAAATATAACTAGCT